TACACGATATATGGTGTGACTCCACCAACCGTGGTCACTCTGGCTAGCACAACCGTCCTTGGTAGACTACAGACATTTAATAATGATGACAGACAGATGGAGTTTGTCAGGAGGCAGACAGGAGTTCAAATTTCCAATCAGATGCCTAGGAACTTCACCAGTGGGAGAATCTGAATAGATACATTCTCTAAGCAGCCTGGCTAGACAGCTTTTTCCTGCTGGTCCTGCTCACTTAGGGGGGTTTCACTGCCACCCATTCCTGCTCTCTCATAAAGAGTTGTAGCAGCTTTGCACTGTCTTCCATCATACCAGAGACCATCACCAATATTTAAATCCTTTTTTTTTAGCATTTAAACTTGAATCTGACTCAACAATCCTTGTCAGGCTTATCTGGTAAGATGTATATATTAATATATGAGTGCAACTTACTGGATATGGACTGTTTTCCAAGCGCTGTCAATTATGTAGTATGAATAAATAATTAAAACGTGATGGTGCTGGAGACTTTCACAATCAATAGGGAAAAACATTCACAAAACATCTGTAGTCTTGCATACAAATTTGAAAGTAAAATGAACATAGATGACCCAGAAATCCTATAGCTGTAATCACAGCATCAGTCTATATGCAAATATATATGTAAGGCAATTTTAGTTTATAAAGTACAGTAGAATATTATTACACTGATTGATGTAACTCAACAGCAAAGAGCCATAGCAAAGATCTATTTTGTTTACACAAAGTAAAACATAATTGTTTTTAGATTCATAGCTTTCAAAAGGGAACATACTATGATTTGAAAACATATAGCTCCCAACATGCCTTTAATGGAAGGTGTATTGTAATGTGTTTTATTTCTTTTTTATTTTATTTTTATATATTTTATTTTGTATTTAATCAAAATTAAAAGCATTCATCAAAAAGAAAGTGAAAGAGTCTAAATACACTAATTAATACATTATATTTATTTGGTTTCGGCCCATTTGGACATTTACGTAACGGAAACAAAGACAAAATGAAGTCATCACTTTTTAAAGCTTTATAAAAGACTAGCAACAAACACCAAATAGAGCAGAATTTCTCTTGTTTGTTTGAAAAGCCTCACTTAATCATAATATAATATACTATTCCTACACATTCAAAATAGAAAAATGGAATTGATTTCCTTTTAAATTCAAGATTACTCTTTAAGAGAAGTAAGACATTCATGCTGTTAGAGCTCAATGTTCCTTTCAGGGGTAGCTCTATTCATAACTTTGCGGAGTTAGGGAAAGGTGGAATGCATGGTGCGAAAAGGTATATAGAGTTCATGCCATATTCTCCTAACTTTGTGAAGAAAGTGCCAGAACAGTTTAAAGTCCCGTCTGCAAGGTGTTAAGTGCCTTCTTCTCCCATTCACAAAATGTCCCATTGACTCCACTCCAATGAAGGATAGTGTAGTTCAGCAGATAAGATACTGGACTAGTCGTCAAGATTCTATCCTCACTCTGCCACTGAGCGGCTTTCTGACCTTGGTCAAGTCACATCTCCATGCTTCAGTTTTCCCATCTGTAAAATGATGATGATACTTACCTATCCCTGAGATTTATGTGCAAAAAGCTCTGAGCAAAGGAACCTTGCAGGAGTCAATTCAAATATAGAGCAGGATAGTGGAAGCTGATGCTGGGAGAGGAAAATAAAAAGAGCAGGAGCAGAGGGCCTTGCTGAACTGAGAAGAAGAGGACCAGTGCTGCTGATAGGACCTGGGGGAAGATCTGAAAGACATCAGTTCTGACTGGGAAATAGGAATGGGAGGGGAAAGGTAGCAGGATTGATCAAGTTTTGGAGGCAGACTGTGATTGTGAAGAATGGCTAAAGTTGGTGAAGACCTGTTTGCAGGGAGCTAATCACACAAAAGAAGAACTACACTACATTACAGTACTCTGTTTAGTTGACATTGAACTGCTGCTGCAATGCAGCAGCAGCATATTCCTTGCAGGTATCCAGAGCCTGCACTGTCTTCTTCCTGCCAAGTCAAGCCCATTGTTACCCTTCTGCACCCTACAAGATGGAAAAGTATAGGAGTGGCCATTATGCTGCTCCTCAGTAGGAGCTGCATGTTATAGCATTTTGCCCTGGTTAATTAATGTAGTTATGCATACCAAAAAGTTAATACAAGTTTCCCATCATAAAACTGTTATACAAGTGTACATTAAGAAATTTAAATCTGTTAGGAAAACATGACGTTCTCAGTTTCATCCATATTGTCTCTAAGGCTAGACTCCAAAAAATATCAACCAGTGTGGTAGAAATGGATGAGGACTCAAGCTGCATCTGACTTGATCTTTCCCTTCTGAAAGATGTGAACTCATCCATATAAAGAGGGACCCAGTTCTATGTGTTCCCTTGTGATTCTACATGAGATGTGCAGGAATATAACATGGAAAATGTGACATTACAATCTTGCTTATTGGCTCAGAAATGAACCTTTGGTTTGGAGGCACGAGAAATAATGAGTATCTCCCCCTTAAATGCCTCCACCCCAATTAAATATTTTGACCCAGGAAAAATAATTTAAAGACTCGGGGACAAATTTACCACTCATGTAAGTAGGTACATATCTATTGACTTCAGTGAAGCTATGCTTGCTTATTTTAACAGTGAATATAGCCCTCAATTCCTAATAAATGTTCTTCCTGGCATCTCTCTTAGAATAGGGACTTCTTTCCCAATCTCAAATACAGGCCAAATAAGTCCTTCATTTCTCCTTCTTGTTCTCTCATCCTGACACTCAGGTCCATTGGAGGATACTTTCTGGAATTATTAGGCAAACAATATGGCTTAGCTAGGGGTCGAAACTATTCTTCACAGAATCATCAAATAGTTGGTTCATTAACTCAATGGCAACTTTCTCCTTGCAAATCAGTGGTACGGCAGGGACTTATATTTGGGGATCTCCAATTGGACATCTGGGGAATATCAAAGATAATTTTATTTTTGAATTCTTGAGTACCATTTTTGTTCTGAATTTGTAGGTTGTCTCTAATAATCATCTCAATTGTGGCCTGAACAGATCCTAATTTTATCTCTTGTACCTATAATCTTCTCAGCAGATTCTAAAGACTTCTCAACACTTGTCACTGTGACAGGCAGAGATGCTCTGTAGTGCCCCCTTCAGGGCCTCTCCCCACCTTAGTCTGCAAAGTTCTTAACTGGCTTGCTGGTTCCTGAGTAGTCAATATTTTCTCCTGAACCTTGGAGGACTGGCTTGTTGATCGCCTGTTCTTAGAAGATTTTCCTTGGGCTAGGAGTTTTGGGCACTGATGCCTCCAGCAAGGGACAGAGAAGCCTAATAGACCCTATCACACACCTCCGCCCCACAGAATAGGCCTATTGGCCCAATCTCCCTCCTCTGCAATAATGCCACCCTCCCAGAAAAAGAAATCTGCATTCTGATGCTGTGAACCTGGCTGGTGTATACAAAAGGCATAGGGTTCTAACTCCAGATACCACCAAGTAATGTGAGGGTTAGTGTCTTTCATTGACTGCCACTATTTGAGGGGGTGCCTTCTGGGTTTCATTGGGAAGTACCCCTCATTTTGGGACTTCTCTGGGAGCCCCCTGGGCCTTTTCTAGTACCTCAAGTTGACTCCTCAGGAGGTTGGGGCCAGGCTTCACCAGACAAGGGCCATTCACTCTGGCTGGACCAACCTGCTGCCATAAAGTCCTGTGTGAGTTGAACTGTCACCATGCTGAGATTGTATCAGCATACCCAGGTTTGGATGGCAGTTAGCAGAATATCTAGGTACTGTTCGAGCACCACCACCTCCAGAATCTTGGCTGGACAGTGGGATGCCAGCTGGAGCTGGCGGGCAGCTTAGTTCTTTAGCCGCTAAGCCACAGCCTGGGGTTTTGCCCCCGGTGGGAAATGTTCTGTCTAGAATTGTCTTCGGCGATACCCCTCGTTGGTTGAGACAGTAGCTTTCAGGGTATCAGAATCCTTTGCAGCTTCATCATCTAAGGACAAGTAGGCCACCTGGGCTTCCCTAGTCAGAAAATGGGCTAGTCGTGTGGCCCATGTGGCCTTCTCCCATTGTGTGGCAGTGCCTATCAGCTCAAACATAACAAAATATGTCTCAGGGTTAGCAGCAGGTCCCAATTTGGAAAGGACAATACTGGGGCTGGCTGAGTCCCTTCAGAGTGGGAGCAGCTGGTGATCCATTCCAGTATTGGCTCCTAAAACTGCTGCTGCCATTATTGCTTGCTTGCTGCTATTGGGTGGCTCGCCAAGTCTCCCGCTGCCCTTATGGAAAAGCTGCTGGGCCTCTGCCTGGACCTGCTGCTGCTGAGCTAGGAGTTGTATGATCTTCTCCATGGTTCCCCTTTACAAAAAAAGTCAGTCCCATTTCTGGGTCCAAGTTGTGGCAGGCAAGGCTGCATGTGGTACTGGAGCTGCTCCATACCTTAGTCTGAAAAGTTGGCCACCTACTTGGGGTTGTAAGCTTGGCATCAAGTTCTAAACAAAAATAGCAACTCATGATTTGGCTGTCTGCGCCTTTAAACAAGAAGGGGGGAAATTCCTTCAAAATGCAAATGCTTAGTTGCAGTGCTTAGGGCAAGCCCCTGGCTCGGTTAGCCCTGATGAGCTCCTCCTCTGTCCCAATGTCACCCAGCTCTGCCCCTGAGCAAAAGCAGGCTAGCCTTCTTAACTGGTCTGGTGGTTCCTGATCGGTATTTCCTCTTTTAGGCCTCTGGAGAACTGTCTTGTTGGTTACCCAGTCAGAGTGGATTTTCATTGGGTGGAGAATGTTAGGGCTCTGTGCCTATGTCCCTGCCATTGAGCATGTGCACTGCTGCCTCATTCTAGACATCCAGATGGTTAAGCCCCAGTGTGATGCACTAACTGAAGGAAGACAGGCCTCCACCATCTTACTCACCTGTGGGGCCCAATCCTGTAGGTGTGCAGTTCCACACAAGATGACTTCCCTCATAACTTTTAGCCCAGTGTTTAGGGTACTCACCCAGATGTGGCACACCAAGTACAGTATGTTCTGCTGCTATTTGGTGGTGTGGGCCCAGGTCTTTGGAATGTTGGTGTTCAGTTATTATTATGGCAGGTTGCTAAATTTTCCCTGAGGAATACAAGTGAAAAAGGGAAAAGGAGTTAAATCTGTATGAAATTTCAGAGGACAAAAGAAAAATGTACTTCTCTAGCCTGAGTGCTTCTCCATGCAAAACTTCAAAGGCCTGCTGCAAACAGTGGATGTGTTAGCGTTTCTAAAAAAAGATCACAAGAATCTTTTATAATAGAAGCTACTAGGCAATGTAAATATAGTGATTGTTACCAACTCTGCCGATAAGGACCAAAAGTGCTAAAAGCTTGCATTAAGTAAAGCAGTTTTGTCGCCCATCTTAATTCACTCAACTGTAAGTAATTTCACAGTAGATTTTATAAAACTTAATATTTAATTGGTGAAAAGTTCAGATATTCTTTTGTATTAGAGGGGATTAAAATGAAAAATGTAGTAAGTGGGTAGAAAATAGTCTCTGTAAGTAACCAAAAATAATTTAACAACATAACAGCACCTTCAGGGAACTACGTAGCTGCCAAATCACTTGCCTGAAATATTGCTCCTGATACTTAAGTCATGAGATAATTACCAAAAGAAGAGGATGACAAAGAGAAATCTGATAGGAAGGAACATGAAGGGACATATTTTACTTTAATATTAAAGGATGCCAACACTTTTAAAATAATTTAAAATACAGAGAACACAAATTCAGACAGGAAATAAGGCATACGTTTTTTTACAATGAGAGTAATTAACCATTTGAACAACTTACCAAGGCTTGTGGTGGATTCTCCATCACCAAGAATTTTTAAATCAATACTGGTTATTTTTCTAAAAGGAATTATTTTGGAGGAAGTTCTATGATCTATGTTATACAGTAGGTCAGACTGGATTGTCCCTTCTAGTCTTGGAATCTGTGAATCAATGAATCAGCTGTATTCTGCAAAAGTAACTTGGCATTGCATCAGCAATTTCTTAATTCCACTGTTGGTGGCACATCTGAATTTCTATGAGGGGACCCAATTCTGGATTCTAAGACCAAAATCAACAGGAAGGCTCCCCTCACTTGTAGTGTAATATTCAGCTCCCAAGGCATTCTCTGTGTGTAAGAAGCTGTTTATTTAATAGCTCCTATGTATAAATTCAATCCTTCAATAATGGCAAAGAAGTCCAAAATGGAGAAATCCTGATTTGGGTTTTCTAACGTTTAGTTAACTAAATTTTCATTTTAATGCAGAAAATATCAATCTAAATGGTGTCTGGGAAGTAAGTTGCAACATACAAGGATTTGAGGGAAATTTTGTCATTTGTATCAAAGGGAGAAAGTTGTCTGGAGAACATATCTGAGTGCACAAGCATAACGGCTGATGTAACACATGACTTATGAAATCACTAGTGCTAATTTATTCATTTTTGAGGGAAAAAGAAATTGGGAGAAACCAGCATATTTATCCTCTATTAACAATAATAATTGCCTCTTAAGAGGAAGACTGTGTTTTGAAAATAGTTAAGGTCTCTTATAAACCAATGCTACTACACTCACTGTGATTGATATGTAGCAATACTAAATACCAGATGGTCTAAAATGGCTGATCCACATGGTAATATAAAACTTTGACTGCAAAATTTAACAAATAACATTAAATTCTGTGCAATGGAAATCTACATTCCTTTGCATCCCTAAGGGCAGGGAGACGATGATACCTTTTAAAAATCCTATGTGCTTCCTCAACCGAAACAAAGTACTGTATGGCAGAGAAATGCTGAACCTCTGCATGGCTGGCAGTTCATTCTCATACTAGCAACAACCAAAGGAAAATATTGCAGGAGCATATAGGCAATGAGGAGGATTATCAAAGGAATCCAGTAGCGCAGAGTCCAATCACAGCATGAAAATAACAGGCGTGAATCTCCCCTCTCTCTGAGATATATTGTTGTACGTGTGCTGGAGAGAGGGGATTAGCCTTAAAATGCGGGAGGAGGAAAAAACCCAAGACCGAACAAGATTGGGGAGAGATCCTCATTAACATACCCACCCAAACATGGCTGACATCACAGTAGACCAGCCTTGTGTATCCCCCCACCCCCTCCCAGCCAGACTGGGATTCGGAAGGCGTGGGAGAAGAAGGAATACGCACTGGCCATGACCATTGGATACACAGAATGAGACAGCATCCGGACCTCTTCCTCCTCACTGCCGATAAAATGATCTTAGATCCTGGCCCCTCGCCCCCGCCTCCAAAATAATATGACAGTAGCCTCATCTGAGCAGATCCTGCCTTCTGAGGATATTTCCCTAAACCTTTCCCCCAATTAAAGAGAGAGAGAGAGAGAGAGATGCAGATTTGGGAACCGCTACAGGCGCAACCGGCGCTGTTCATCCTCTTTCATCCCCTAGATAGCTTAAACGATTAAGATCAGGCAGATTCCTCTTAATAAACCTCGGAGCCACCGAAATAGCTAAATCCAGAAAGGCAGCTCTCCAGATTAAATGCTCCCTTCCCTGCGCTGCAGACACACAGGCAATCAAGGCGTTTTACATAACCCGCGGGACCTGAAAGAAATGCTTTTGATCCACACAAGGAAAAGAACTCCCCGCCAAAAGAGAAAGAAAGAAAACCCAACCCCACCGAATCAGAGCACAAGGCGCCTCTTTCCATCTGGCCACACTATTGTTTCCCCAAGGACAAACCCGCTTCCCTCCGAACAGGCGATATTCAGTCTAGCAAAGAGAATCTCCCAGGGACTGATGTGACAATGCCCCTGGCTTCTGCGAGAGGGGAAACACCGGGCGGAGAGAAACCACTTCCCCTCCCCTCCCTTCCCCTCCCAGCACATAGAGATAAGCGGTGGGAGGGGGGACTCTCTTTACCCCCCAGCGTGAGCTCTCCGGTGCCCACAAACCCCACTACTGGTACTAACCTACCAGGCAAACCGTGCCTCCGACCATGTGTTTCTTTCCATCCTGCCAGATCACGATCCACACAAGATGGCTTGGGAGCACTAAAGCCTAGAACATCCTGTGGGGACTCCTGCTGATTCCTCTCCATCCCTCTCCCCCCCCACCACACACACTCGCCCCAGACATGCCCCCTTGCCCGGCGGTGCGGCCGCCTTACCTACCTTTCTTTGGGGCGTCCCGCGGGGCGAGGCCCTGCAGCGGAGGCTCGCTTCGCCTTGTGTGCTTGGAGTGAATGAATGAGCGTGTTTGTCATAAGGTTTGTGTGCGTGGTGGAGAGCGAGATGCAGGCGCACATGTGCCCAGCCCTCTATGCAGCGGCGGCTTAAAGGCGGACACACACACACACACACACACGAAAAGGGGGGGGGCGGCGCCGGTGGAAGAAGGTGGGCAGGGCTGAGCAGGGGGAGCCGCACCTCCCTTGACGCAGAGGAAACTCTGCAACACCCGCCCGCAGTTGCATCCTTGCTCAGCCAGCGATGGGGGTGATGGGTGTGGGGAGGTGTGGGGACGGGGGCCCAGTGCTCCATTCCACAAGCGTGCCGCTGCCTGGTGGTCCTTAACCCGGTTTGTTTAAGGCTCTGCTTGATCTGAAGCCTGGGCTGTTTGTGTTCAAGAACTATCAGCAGCCCCCCAGCTGGCCCCACCCTGTCTCCAGCGCTGGAACGGCCCATGGCATCTGCAGTATGCTCCTTGCCCTGCCTCACAAAAGCAAGAAGCACCTTTTTCCACCCTCTTCCCCTCTGCTACCACCACTGCATCCCAGTGCACACATGCAAGGTACCTGTCTGCCTAAGGGTTATGGGAAAGTGAAGCAGTTATGGCTCTTTCCATGCCCTTGGCCCAGGCCCAGCACTTCCACTGCAATCAGGCAGGATGGAGAGTTGGGATCTATAAGGCAATGCGTGGGAGGGGTGTGTGTATTTCTGTGTGTTTTGTGGTTGACATGCTGATAGAGGAAGGGGAGGGGGCGCAGGGGTGGAGAAACACAGGAGTGAGGAGCTAAAAAGTACATGGAAAGGGAAGGGGATGTGGAGGAGGTGAGCTGGGTGGTGGGGGAGCCCAGGAGCAGGTGAGGAGCCCAGCTGTATTTTGTAGACTTGGATAGGATATATGGTGGTGGTGAGGAGTTGTGGTGGGAGTTGGGGACAGGACAGTTAATGAAGGAGAGAGGAAGAAGAGCTCTCTGAGGGATGGGAGAGTAGGAAGATGGAAGAGTGGAGGTGAGGAGGTGATTCGGGAAATTAGTGAGATGGAGGCATGGGAATGAGGATCTGATCATACATTTGAAAAATTGAGATCAGGAGTAACAATGCATGAGTCCTGCAGCCAGGCTGTGGATGACTTCTAAAGGACTGCAAAATGTTGGAGGGGAGACATTAATTCGGTCCTCTTGTGCATACGCATTATAATACAGTTTTTAATTATGTGATCACATACTGTTTTTCCCACAGGACCCTTTGCTTCATTCAGTACACAGGACAGACAGTGTTCACTTAACGAGCAGCTATGGAATATTTTGTTTTTTCATCACTGTTCAATCTGTTGTCCTGGACCTTATCTACTGCACACTATTCAAACTCTGTTATGAAGCTCAAATTATTAATTTCCTCTTGGGCTTTCAATGGTGTTTATTAGTATAGTATCTGAGTGCTCCACAGTTAATTTATCTTCACAACACCCCTGTAAAGTGATGGGGTGGTATCCCCATTTTACAGATGGGGAGCTGAGGCACAGAGAGATTAAGGTAAATTTATCTACTAATTTTGGGTGCGCAATTTGAGACACCTAATACTTGATTTTTTCAGAATACTTAGCACTTTGAAGCACAGCTCTCAATGACTGCAGTGGCATTTGTGAGTACTCAGCACTTCTGAAAATGCAGCAAGTCGGACCTCAGGAACTCAAGTCAGGCATCCAGAAAATGAGGAGCACATAGTTAGTGCTAGTGACCTCTGAAAAGTTTGGGTTAAATGACTTGTTTAACATCACACAGGAATTCTGTGGCAGAGGCAAGGATAGAATCCAGTTCTCCAGGGCAGCAGCCCACTGCTTTAGCCATGAAACCATCCTTTCTCTTCCCTTAGTCCCTTCCTCATTCACTACACAACCTTCAATTTCTGCAACAAATGAGGAGAGGCCCTACAGGCGACAACCTCCTTTATTACATAACTCTGATTCATCCTTGCAGCAAGACCATTCTATACACTGAATAAGACAGGAATCCTGTGGAAAAAAATCATATGTGATCATATTATTAAAGACTGTATAACAAGGCATAAACACAAAGGGGATGAATTAAGGTAATACAGACAACTTTAAATCTAGCATTTCCTAACTTTTGAGTGCTTGACTTTGCAACTTCAATCGTGTTTTTAACATAGTTTTTCTGTGTAATTTAGGTTTTTAGAAAATCATATTGAAAAAATAGAAATTCCATTGTTTGGCACCCGCATCAGCAAGGTTGGAAACTTTATATTCACCACATATACCTCTGCCACTTGAGCTAACTGAGCAACTAATAGCAATAGTATGTTATCATCCTTTATATGGACTAGCACTAGTGAGGAGTGAGACACAATGATGAGACTCAAGAATCTTGGGTTCCATTCCAAGCTTTGGAGGGAAATGTGCTCCAGTGTGCACAGATTCTTTTGTTCATTTCCCCGAAGTTTGACCCCTTCTACCCCATCCCCTCTAACTTGTCCCTTTCCTAGTCCTGACTGTTCCCTACCCCAGGATCCTTATACCAGGCCCATTCTCATTGTCCACCTAGTCCTAGTCCTAGTCTCCACTCCTAAGGCTTCTCAAACGAGACCCAGTCTCCTTGTTTGGTCAGTCCTAATCTCCCGCTTTCAGCTTGCTGTCAGAGTCCAAGCCTCTGCCCCCCCCCCCAGTCCCAGTTTCCCCTCCCACTCCAACACCTTGTCCCTAGTCTCCTTGTCCAGACAGTACCAGTTCCTCCATCTGGCTCCTCATCCAATCTGTCTCTCATCTTCCATCTCACTGGCTCACAGTCCCAGTCTTTCTCCTTGAGCTCCTCATCTGATCTCAACTTCCTCCTTCACCCCTTCCTGTCTCCTTGTCCCAATCAATCCCAATTAACCCACACCTCAGCTCCTTGTCTGCTATGTTGCTCCTCCTCCTTTTCCTTTCCCTCTCCTACTGATTTCTAGTTCCAGTCTCTCGTGCTCCCTCCAGCTTTCATCCGATCTCAGTGTTCCCCACCAACAACAGCCAACTGGTCTCCAGTCCCCCTCAGTCTTGTTGTACTCACTGTTTCCCAGTCCCTGTCTCCTTGCCCAACTCCCCCTCTCCTCCCCCCAGCTGTTTGTCTCCACCTCTCCAAATCCCACAGTTTCCACCATACATACAACTCCAGTCCCAGTCTCACCAGACTCACCGTTCCATTCTACTCCTTTCCTTTTCCCCTGGTCCGGTTTTTGTCCCCTGTGCATTTGAGTCAGTTTCCTCCTCCATCCAGTATGGCAGCAGGGGGGTCATTGAGAGCACAGGAGAAACAGGTTCCTGTTCTCAGTTCTAATGTCTGGCCCAACCCTGACCCCGAGCAGCTGGGAGCAGCTTTTACAGGTACAGCTCTTCTGAGCCCTCATAGCCCTGGGCTTCAGAGAGCATGATCAGTCGCTCTGTGAGGACAGCACATGTGCAGTCTGGTCAAACATAGGAGCTGGGAGGGCTTGGAACATGCATAGTCTGGTCACCACTTTATGTTGTGAGAGGTTCAAGCATGTTCAGAGAGGGAGGAATCTTCTGAGATTTTAGCTGATAAGCATCAGATTGAGCATATGCAAACTGTGATTTTTCAAATGCTTATAACTTGGCCAAATTTGGACAAATTTTCATGGGTACAGCAAAAAGCACATCCATGACAGAAAGGAGACCCCACTACCAAATTTAAAAACATGCTCCAAAACAAGGGGCTCTAGAGCATTTAAAAAAAAGGTTACCAGAAGTTTTTAACAAGGGGGAAATAATGTAATTTTCTCCACCATTGTTCTGGGAAAAATCTGAACCACTTTGTCTTAAATTCTCCAGAAATATTCAGCCTGAAGCACATACCTAGCTTGGAAAACTTCAGCCTGAATGTTTTGTGTTTGACAAAGTTATAAGCAACAGAAAACAGGATCTTATAGTGGGAAATGCTGCACAACCTTAATGACGTTTAGAAAGTGCTACCAGCCCTGCCTATAGTGTGTGTATCTGTGTGCATAATTATTGCAACTACTTAAACCTAACATATACAGTGCTATGTTTTCTCTAAGTGGAATCTTCTTTATTCTGTTTTTTTTAAATATCCTCAGAGGCATTTTTTCTCTTTCTCTCACTCTCCTTTTATAACTTTGATTTTGCAAAGTGACTTACAAATTAAAACAAAAACACCAAAAAACAATTTTTGTAGTATTTTTACAATGCAAAAACAAGTCAGATATTTTTCATTACAAAGGTTTATAAAGTTGCTGTTTTAGGAGTGCTGTGTTGGTCAGAATGTTTGAATGGAAACTTAAGTCCATTTTTTTACCTCATTTTCCTACAAGAGGTTGTCATGAAGGTTTTCTGTATTTTTTGCTGTTGTTGACGGGCCTCCTCACTAAAGATTTCCACAATCCACATCTAATTTAATTTTCAAACAAATTCTGTACATGTTTTTGTAACCCCCTCTGGAATTGGTTGTTCCTGACATATTATTCTAAGCCTCTAGGAGACTTGCCCCTGAAGTACAGCAGCAATGGCTACAGAGGCTCAGGACTCGCTTTCCCAGATTGCCTAGCATACAGGGAGGTGACAGAATAAGCTGGAAGCTACTACCAGAATCAGTCATAAGCCAGAACTCAGAGACAAATGGTTTGTTTTTAATTTGGGTTTTGGTTGTTGTTGCAGTGGAGAGGAGATTGGAAAGGGGAGAGAAGCATCACTGCCTGGGATGTCCCCATTAAGCTTCCCATTTCTACCTAAAATGGTGGTTACTGGGTCATTGAAGGATGTCAGCGTGGCAGAGACCAGCAACATGGGAGGCCAAGTCAGGGTACCAAGAGCTAGACTAATTATCCATACTCCAGAACAGTGTGACAGGATCCCCGGGGTACAACCTGGAACTGGGTTACTACTGTGCTCCCTTAACTCTCCAGCCAGGGCTATCCCTCACAATGCTTTGCTGGTGACAAGCAGCAAACCCCTCCGGGTGCTGTTATAACTCAATACAATAACATGTGAGTAGTATAAGGGTCCTACCGTCAATCAAACCCTAACCCCGCCCCCTTGACCCCTGAAGCCCCGCCCTTGACCTCTTGGTGCCTCCCACCTGTCACCAGAAGTCCCACCCCATAGGGGTATTACTTCCGGGGTCAAGGTGCCACCTGACCGGAAGCAAGGTGTGTCATGTGACCCCTCTAAGAACTCCTCCCACCACCCTCTACCAATCAGGAGGGGTTTTGTCCCGATAGGACCTCCCCAAGAAGAGATTTTGACTAATCAGGGTGACTTCTGGGTTGGGGTGACCCCTCCGTAAGTGAGTTGTGTGACCCCACTAAGAACTCCATCCAAGGCCCTCCGCCAATCAGAGTGCAGCACCATTACCCCATAAGTCCCAGCGCCAGACAGAGGAGGCGGCCATGTCTTACCAAGGACACGTGTTTTCAAAATCGTGGAAAGGCTGCTGAGAGGAAACATGGACTCCTTCACCACCTCCATGAGAACTTCGGACTTTGTTTTAGCCCCGAGGGTCTTTGACCATCCACGGTGAAAGCGCTACATCAGTGACAGTTCCGAGGAGGAGGGAGCGACCGAGGGGAGCCCTTTGGCCCAACCGTTGCTGGATACGCTGGAACTCGACCCCAAAACCCTCATGAGACACTCCGATGAGCATGGCAGTCTCTCTTTGTCCACCCCCTCAGAGGTGGAAGGCGATCGCGGCTCGGGGGAGTCACCGGCAAACAAGGCGAACGGAAAAGACGGCATTCAGGTAAATGAATGATTAAGAAGCGGCAGTCGAGGAGGGGTGGGTAATGGGTTAGGAACCAGGGGCTGTGTAAATTAAAAAACAAGCAGTGGGGGTGCTTACCCGGTTTCTTTTCTGAAAATTTCTCAACAGCTCGACAATGCCTTTCCAGAGAACCCAGAGGCCCTGGACAGCGTTGCATCAAGCAGCGAAGATTAACCGGGTCCACCATGTTTTTGCTCAATGCCAGTACAAGTTGTTGAAGAGGACTCTAAGGATGATGGCTATGAGGAGTTTAGGAGGCGGCTTGGCATAGAACTAACTGAGCCAGTGCCTCATCGTGAGCATAAAAAAGTCATGCGGACTATTGTATGCGTTGCTGTTTATGCTATCCTTAAACACTGCCTTAGGGAAAAGCTTTTTGAAGATTGTGAGGGCTGTGTCATAGATGCACCAGGCCAAAGGCACCATGACTGTGTGACTTGGACTTCAGTGGATTTAAACTGCAAGCTCCAGGGCCTGTGTGCTGAGCTGTGTTTGGAAAGCTTATTAAACACTATTATTGCCATAGGTTATGGTATGCAATGTCTGTGCCTAACCCAAGAACATTTAGCACAAGGGGTGACCTTGATAAATGCTGTGCAATTCAGTGCAGACCCTGACCGTGTTCTAAAGAAAATGACCAAACCGGAAGATGCCTGCTTACAGTCTTATATTGACCATCTAGTCCGCACAAAGAGTTACAGAACCCTGCTTAAGAAAAAGACTATTTGTAAGAAATCTAAAAGGATTAAGTTAGAGAA